CTGCCATTTAAAAAAAATCCTCCATCCCTCTCATCACTGCCAGCTTTTCCTTTCCAGGTCATTTCCAATAGAATGTGACTCATATTCTCTGTGAAGAGAACAAATCAGTTATTCATTACCTCTTACCCATGGGCCAGTACCAAACTGAAAGGAAGTATGATGAAATCAGAATCTTGAAACATCAGCCCCTGCTTTGTCCTGGGTTTTCATTTGGGGTATGAGAAGGTGCCACAGGACATTAATCCAAGCACTGAGATAAATTTTGAAGCCACTGAAAGAACTTGTTGAATCAATTAACCCAACAAGGTGATGGCTTTTCTCAGGAGAATTGTTTGATTTAAAGATTGGTAGGGGGAGAACTTACTCCACATTGATGAGTTTCACACTTAAAATTTACTCTCTCTATAAATGTCTTCTGATAACATCTTCAATTTCTTTTCTCTCTTTTACCAAATTTCCTTTCATCTTGCCCCTCGAGCCATGTCCAAGAGTCATGTGTTATTACTTTTTTCATTATTTATGTTCATGTATTATTATTTACTACTTCAGTTTCCCTTTCTTTTTCTGCCCCTTCCCTCCACCCCCTAAGTTTCCCTTTCTTGTTCCCAATCTGCGTATCTCATCTGTCCGCATCACTTGATTCCAGACAGCCACGGGGCATACTACAACACAGGCGCACACGTCATCCTCCAGAGGTTAGAGGGGCATGAATGGACCAGTGCCAAGTGATCCTTGTTTCTCCCCAGATGTGGGGAATGGTATCAGATTGGGGATGTTGCACTTTGAGTTCACTCCCTTTACTGCAAAAGTCTACTTCTTCCACCAGGGTGACTGTGTCAGCTAGCCAACATTGCAGATTGTGAGGGATGCTTGGTAGATAGTGCTCTGAATCCTCCAGAGAGGGAATAGAGGCATAGTTCCGGTTTGTTGGCTGAATCTGGAATGATTGGGGGACTTGCTGAGGTTTGGCAAGACTTTGGAGACTAAGACTAAGGAGACTAATACAAGACGAAGGAGGCTCACCTGGCTCTGTCCTGTTGGCCAGATTTATCGCCCCTGCTTCTCCTCATGTGCTTTGACACTTGAAGAAATATATGAGGCAGTGAATCTATCTTCCCTTTTTTTAGATGACAGATCCAGACAGCGAGTTTAAGGGTGTGCTGCCAGTTTGTTCTTCCCTTGACACTTACTGCCTCACTGAAGGTCTCCTTTGTACTGCTCACAATAGCTGAGCGGAGCCCAGTGATGCTGAACCACAGAAAAAGTCCTAGAGGTAGTAGGACTTTGGCCCCTAAAATCCTTTGATCTAGACCCTTAGAAACCAGGACCCTCAGCAGAGTGTCTCAAAGCCACAGATCCTTTATTTTGCAAATCCTACCAAGTAAGCAGTAGTTGTCAGCAATGGTTTAATTGGCTTCACAACACTGGTTTGGGTTAAGATTTCCTAATCTGTGTTGACACCTTCCTTTATTTCGAATAACTATTTTGCTGTTGCTTTTAAACTCGATGGAAAAAGATATTAGTTGAGTTATAGATTCTGAACAGATAGTTTAAGATCATTTAATACATTTTGCACATTTACATTTATTACATTTATACCCAAATTTTAGTAGAAAATTCCATACCAACTAGAGAATTGTAATTGAAAGAGCCCAGAGCAGCAGTCAGATGTCCCCAGCTAGCTGCTGCTTTACAGAGCAGAAACATCACTTTGCTGACTCCACAAGCCTCTCCGAACTAGGATTTCCTAGTTGGTAAGAAAGTTTATTTTCAGGGAGATTATGAGTAGTAATGTTATAGGCACCCCTGAACCTCCAAACCTGCCCACTCTAAGTAGGTTCTGCCATCCCCTGTATCAAGACAAAACATATAAGATATTTAATAGAAAGGAACGTTAATACAATCAATGTGCAATACAGAAAAGACAAAGAATATAGTTTCTAAATCAAACACCCAGTTACCATCCCCTTGTGGGTAATGGTCTACCCAAAAGAGATTGGCACAGAGCAAGGTCCAAAAGCCCTCTATAAGTCTGAAGCACCTCAGGGCAGGGACCCATTGAAAAGGGTCAGAAATGGCCAGACAAGTCAGGGAGGAAAAGAGCAAAATCAAAATCAAGATAAATGCTGCCATAGTGAACCTCCCCACAGGTCTCTGACCCACATCTGTTTCAGCCAGTTCAAGACCAAGAAGCAAGATGTCACAGGTCTCTGCTCCATGTGTCTCCCTCAGGTCTCCTTCTGTCTCTCCATCCTGCTTCCTTCCTTCTCAGACCCCTCTCCAGATTCTTCTCTTCTCTGCTCAGTTCCACCCTCCCTGTGGGTGGGGCAGGGAACCTGAAACCTCCCCTTTTCCTGGGGACCACCCTGTTACAGTAAAATCATAAGGAAAAGAATAGGGAAGGAGGGGAAAGAAATAAGACTACCAAGTACCAAACTCCTGCTATGAGTTAAGCAAATTCACAATTATCTCATTTGAAAACACAGTAATTTCAGATTTCCTCCCAAAGTTGTGCCATAAGTGCAGGGGTAGACAGTACCCAGTAAGTGCTTTCTCAGCCCCATCACTGTTCTAAGCACTCTATACACGCAGTTATTTCCTCCCACTTGTATATAAAGAAACTAAGGCAAGGAGAGGTTGACGGACTTGCCCAGGCCGGCCAGTCAGTAAGTAGCAGAGCAACTGCCAAACTCAAGAGTTTTAACAACAAACCCGAGTCCTATTGGCAAACGACTTGCCTGTGATCATTTGTTCATTAAACAAGTATTTGATGAGCACTGACTATATGAAGGCATTGAATGACTCCTTCTTGAGTGTTCCAAGGTGAATGAGACAATGTCCTTGTCCTTGACAAACTGAAAATATAGATAGCAGAGGCTCGGAAATGCGTAAGGTGCGACCACGCTGTACCTAAGCCAGACAACATTACAGTGATCTCCTGCACTTTGGAAATGTTCATGATGCTGTAAATCAGTGGCCGGAGGGCCCATTTCTGGTTATCTGGCCCTGGTCCTCCCTACAGACAAGGTATTCTGGGGCCCTAGGATGCACTCACCTGGCTTCTGAGCCCCTTCCCTTCTCACCTCCCTGCTGGATGCCTGGAGGCATTACTATTCCCCATCTCAAGGATCTGAACCTACCTCCAGGGTTTGCAGTGGAAGTGAGTACTTTGAGGACAGATGACCCAGAATTCTTAGGCAGAAGCCTGATCAAAGGCAGGTATTTATAGGGGCAGAGTATAAGTAGGGGTTGGCCTCATGAGCCCACAAAAACAGATATCCACAGTGACCCTTGCAGAGCAGAATTGACCTGCAGGCAGGTGGAGGACTCATGGATTGAGGTCAGTTCTCTCTACCACATTCAGCCCAAAAAGACAGATGCCGAGATCAGAAACTTAAGTGTTATTTGGTATGGTTTGGGAGGTTATATTTTAGCTTTGGAACGTGAGAGGTTTTTGTTGCTATTCCATATAAATTAATGGTAATTGCATCTCTAGGTTTTGCCATTTTGGCTTAGGATATGTTTCATTTATTCATTGGGAGTACCCTATTTTGGGGTACCTGTATTCTATATATTTGAGAAAACCTGTATTCTATATAACTTACAAGATATAATAAACAGTATACACTACAGATTGTATACAATGGGTGACATACATACTATATTAAAAATTACATGGGTATTATTATATTACACATGTCAGCCAAAATAGGAATTCAGTATATGTTACTGAAAATTGTTAGTCAGTATATGCCATATGTTCAGTATGACAGAATGAAAACTAATTCAATACCATGTTCTATTCTGACAGAGTCTGTTCGTTGAAGATTTATTCTTCCAACCCTTCCCCATTTTCTTAACCATTCTTTGGCACAGATTCCTTCTTTTAAAAAAATATTTATTTATGTATACAGAATTGGGGTACTGAAGGGGCAGTGAGAGTCTTCACCAGAGACAGAGTGGGGGAGCAGAACTACGAAGTACACTGCTGAGGGGCGCAGTGGGCGAGACAGGAGAGGTCTGCTGCACCATGTGGGTCACCTCCCTGGCCAGGAGCTAACTTGTGCTGAAGTGGCTGCGGCCAGCTTCCTAGTGCTGTGCTTTAACCCTCTACACCACCAGGGAGGGTCAGGTTTCCGCCTTTTACTACATGTTCTGGCTTCCTTGGAACCGGTAAGTATTTAGCCCACCTGTTTGAGCTTTAGGTCTGAACCTACACAGAGCTGAGTGTGCTCTAGGGAATAAAAGCCTAAGACTGGAGCCCAGAGAGGCCAAGGTCCCCTCAGGAGGGAGGGAAGTCACTTTTGCCTACAGCCCTATCCAGAGAGGGGTTTCCGGATGCTGAGTGGCTCCTGGCCCTCTGTGACTTTCTTGAGAGCCACGTTCAGAGGATCATGACGTCAAAGGATAAAAAATAGTGTTAGAGAAAGTCTGACCAAACTCTCAGAAATCTCAGGCCCTAGTCCCTGCTTTCCAGATCAGGTGAAACACACAAGGGCTCTGACAGCTCCTTAATTCTTAGTGGAGAATCACACCTGCCCTGGTGACCTGCGGGCATCCATAGCTCTGTTGCTTTTGAAACAAGTGGCCAGAAAGCCTGGGATCCCTTCCTAAGCATTGATTCTCTCCAGGATGATTGAATGGAATGTAGGAAGAGGAAGGGAGGGAGTGAGGGAGGAAAGGAAAAGAAGGAGGAAGGAAAGAATGAAAGAAGGAAGAATGGTTTGGGTGGGGTTGGGGTTGCTGAATGGATGCAAAAGAGCTAGAGAGCAGTATCTCGACAGGGGACCCCCCCACCCAGCCCTCTCCCGTTCTGGAGTCCCCCCCCCTCCTGCGCCCCTGCCAGCTGGGTCGCAAGGAGGGAGGTTGCGGGGGACTTGCGGGGTGCGGGGAGCAGCGATGGCCAGGGGAGGTGGGGAAGGAGAGGTGGGGAAGGGGTGGGCCTAGGAGCGGAGGGGAGGGGTGCGCGGGGAGAGGGCCCCGCGGAGGGGGCGGCGGGTGCGGCGGCAGCTCGGCTCTAGCTGCGGTGCTGGCTGGCGGGTGCGGGAAGCGAAGATGTCTCCGCGGTCTCCTCCTCGCCGGCCAGGGCTGCGCCGCCGGGGCTGAGCCGCCGCGGGAGCCGCCAGCCGAGCAGCCGCTGGGCGCACCCGCAGCGCGGGAGGATGGGCTGCGGCGGAAGCCGGGCCGATGCCATCGAGCCCCGCTACTACGAGAGCTGGACCCGAGAGACCGAGTCCACCTGGCTCACCTACACCGACTCCGACGCGCCGCCCAGCGCCGCCGCCCCGGAGAGCGGCCCCGAGGCGGGCGGCCTGCACGCGGGTGAGCGAGCCCGACTCCCGCAGACCCCGGCACTGAGGGGCGGGGGTCGAGGGAGGGAGGAGCGGGAGGGGTGGAGTGGCGGAGCGGGAGGGCGCAGTCCGCCCAGAGAATTACGGAGGGGGGGAAGGGAGAGAGGCTCCACCTGCCTGCAGACCGACGGGCTGATCGGCGGGTGCGCCAGCCCTGGGAGTGGGGTCAAAGAAACCCTTCCAGGGGCTCAGCAGATCCCCTGAGCTCGGGAAACCCAAGACTCCTTTGCCCCCGCCAGTGCCTGCTCTTTGCAGGGGACGACGCACCCCGCACGCACTCGGATCGCCAGCCCACGCGCCCCGGGTCCACCTGGCTTCTCTGCCGGGCTTCGGTCCATTTCTCCCGGCGCAGCGGGCGGGTCCATCCATGACTACTTGGCTTGACTCACAGCCCGGTACCTCATCCAGGTTGCCGGGTGGAATCTTTCTTGGAGCTTCCCGTTTTCTACCTACTGGGAAGGACTCCCCTGGCCCTATGGGAAAATCAGAATCCATGCTCTGGGCAAAATAAATGCGCCTCCCCCCAACCTCTGTTCTGCACTTAAGCTTGTTATTCAAGAAGCTTCATAGCAAAGAACTTCTCTGTCAGCTTCACGGCATGTGAGACAGGGCATACAGGTGGACTGTGACTAAATTAAAAACTCTTACCTAGGTCATTTCCTCTTTGGTGGAAACCTAATGGAAGGATATTCAAAGAACTTTCTGGTTCAGTCACAGATCAAAGTTATTACTTTTTTTGATTTTTGTTTTTTTGGTCAGGGTAGGGTGGAGATGAGAATAGACCAACTGTTGCTACAGGTTGACCTGTCATAACCGTGTTGCTGGTGTTGAAAGGGGGGAAACTCAATGCTTATTATATGGATGTTGTCAAAAATCACATTAGTAGCTAGATAAAAATGTCTTAACTGTTGGCATTTTTGAATAATGAAATCTAAAATATAAAATGAGGTTAGTTTGAAGTAAACCAGTTGTTATTATTAGGAAAGGAAAATTGTAAACTTCTCTTTAAAGATCGATAATCCCAGATCCATACATCCCAAATAAGAGCTGCCACTTTATTCTCGAGAACAGGTTTTCTCCATTTTTTTAGAACCAATGCTAGCTTCTCTTTTTCACACAAAATTTGAAATTCCCTTTTTGAAAAGTGCTGTCAGTGAAAACTGTGCAAGGCATAACACTTTGCCTCTCATTTTTCTCACAGTAGCAACCATAATGATTATTTTGTGTGGCTGATGCTTTCAACAAGTTTCCAGATGATGTGTTTGTTGAATTTACTGTCAGAATGAAGCTAGGACAGAAGCCTTCCAAAGAGATCTGGTAAATATGAGGTGCAGCTACATTTTCTAGGGAGGTGTGGTACTTCTCAGCAGAGAGCCAAAAGCCAGAGCTGTGCTCCAAGGAATTAAGGTTGAAAAGATCTAGAATGAAAAAAAACAAAGTACAGCTTCAGGGATGGTTGCCTTGGTGACCAGGAGCATATCCTATGTACGGGTGCACTTGTTTAGGAATGTGAGTTATTATGGGATGGTTAAGTATGCACATATTTGTTTCCAGTGCTTATTCATTCACTACCCTGTCATCCTGAGTCATAGTCCATCATGCATCATGAGCTCTGGTCTCTCCACCAGGTGGGGGCTTGGGACAAGCACTCTTATTTATGGTACCCTGCCAAACAGTTCTAGCAGGCTGGGGCTTCTGAGACCTAATCTTTCACAGAGTCACAGGAAGGACTCAGTGCCAGTGCGGGGAGCGCACCCTAAAACTGGCAAGTCTCAGATGAGTAAAGTCATTTTGAGTTCTAAAATTTCCAGAAATTTCCATCAGCTTTAGGGAAGAGGGACACTGCTGAAGAGCAAATGGAACCAAGACTTCCCCTGGTGGACACTGTCACTCTCTGGGATCTTTAGAAAAGTAACTTGATTCCTGTGGAGGTTTAAGCTGGGGAATGGTCATCTTTCCTTAGAAGGGGTCACCCCAGATTATGACAGATCGTTTTCCCCCCACCTGTACACTGTACACCACCACCAGTGCTGACATGGATTCAGTCCTAGGCTTCTGGGGACACCTGACATCCCACAGTGGCGGTGCTGTGATGTTTCAGAATGCTGCTTTGGCCCGTTTCCATCAGTCCTTTTCTGACAGAAGGAAAGCTGAATTCAGAGAATCTTGTCAACAAATATGGCTTCTGGGCCAGAACCCCATAGATGGAGGGGGGCTCTAAAGGTTATGCGTTCCAGGCAAATGTAATTCAATTAAATAGCCCAGGTCTGGATATTGTCTCCACCACCTCACGGTTCATATTTCCCCTAGCTCCTCAATCCTCTGGAGTCCTTCCTTTCTTTGAACCCCTCTGGTCACTCTGCTTTCTTGTCACACTGAAGCCACTTCTGTTACGGCCACTCCAGTGTCAGGCGCTGGGAGGGCAGGAGTGGACAGATTCATCTGTAATCCCTGCTGAACACTCTGTGAAGACGTGTGGGACCACGGTGGGATCTGATGAAGGTTTTCTGGGCGAGTAGGCCCTCCGGCAGCAGACACCTTTCATTCCTGCCAGCTCTGTCTAGGCTGGCCCTCCCTCTTCTTTTCCTTGAAGTCCTTTCTGCTGAAGCTTTGCCATTGAATCAGATTTAGATTCTTTCAAGTGACTTGCTGTCCTTGTGCCCTTTCTTTAACCTGTCCCCCCACTTGACACTATATTACGAGACATCTGGCATGGCTCAAGATCCCAATTCTCCTAAAGCCCCTCTCCCCAACTCCTCAATTATGTCCTCTGTAAACCTCACTTGAGCATAGCTCTTGTAAATCTCACCTCAGTTTCTCTTAATTTAGTGCAGGTGTTTTTGTTTTTTTGCCAGCCCCACAGAAAAGTTTCTTGCCTCCTTCTTATTCAAGCAGCGATTATGAGCCTCTGGTTCCTGTTGTTGGTGATCACCTCCACTAGTCAGTGGGATTCAGTCTTCAGGTTCTCTCTTGTAGGCTGCAGTATCTGGTCTTCATTGCTTCCCTGTGTCCCTGTCCCTCCGTCACAGGAGGAAATTAAACTGGTCTGGCATGAATTACTCTTCATAAAAATCAGTTGGTTGGATTGATTTTTGCTACCGTTGTCTGGCAGGGGGTATCCTAAGGTGAATGGAGTTTGTGAGCTTGCTCAGTCATCCTGTACGCTAATAACTTCCCAGTTTAGCTCCATTCAGTCATTAAAGGCCATCGTTGTACCATTTAGTTTTTTTCTAATTTCTCTAGGAGGTAAAACATCTCCTCAGATAAGAGCATTTTTCTAAAGTGCTATTTATAGCTTTAAATTGCTAAAATAATGACTTTAGTAAATGCAGTATCACAAATTTAGAGACAGCGAGAGATTTACCCAAAGGAATAGAAAGATAGTCAAATAAACTGAGTTGCACTTATGACCAATAGTTAATGTTGTTTCTGATGACTTCCCAAGGGCGGGGAGCGGCCTTCAGGCCAATCATGCCTTAGTCCTCACAGCGGTGGGTAGGACCTAGCACCACCGCACTCCTAAGAACTGCCTCCTGCTCCCCTGTAAGCTCCACCTGGGGAACTTTGGCTCCTCAGGGTCGAGTCCTCCACAGACAGCTTTCAGTGTTTAGCTGCTGCATCCCCTCTTACCGCTGCCTCTCCAGGCCACACACCTGCAATTTCTTCACTGGTTCTCAGACCGCTGTGGGCTTCACCATATTCCTTCAAGTGCACTATTGGCCAACACCTGTCTTAGCCTGAGGGACCTTTGGTTAACTCCAAGCTCTGAAGTTGGCCGAGCCCCAGAGGGCCAGGAGGAAGAGTAAGACGTGAGCCCCAAACCACTCTTGGTTGAGGTAAAATCAGGTTAGATTTTGTTTCCCTGCTGTTGTTGCCATATTACCTGATGACTCACTTTAAGCTTGTGATGAATTCGAACTCATAGATCTTTCTTGTCAAATTTAAGTGCTATGACGTCAGGGCCATGGTGTTTTCACTGCTGTCTGCAGAGCACCTGCAACTGTGACTAGAACCTAAATGCAACTCGGTGTTTGTTGAATGAGATTTTTCTCCATGGACCCTACATGGATGCTGTGGATTTCAGTAATCCAAACTGCGGGCTTTCTCTTTTTTCCTATTAAAATTGTCATTTTTTTTAGTTTCATAGTTAAATGTGTTGACCTTGCTTCATTTTGACAGTACCGCTTAGACATGATTTTGGATTCTGTTCCCTTGTTGACAAACAAATGCCAAGAGACCTTTGTTTTCTCATTCAGTACCCACCTGGTGCAAAGACAAGTGAGATATGTTCCTTGACCCCAAGAAGGTAGTAATATGTGTTTGTAGATATGAAGGTGGACGCTCCTCAGGGCACTATTGTCCATCCTAGAACAGTGTTGGGAAAGGTGCTGGGGGGTTGTAGGGTCCTTTTTGCTTTGGGAAGGGCCCATGTGTTCACGGAGTTTTCTGCAAGAGCCCGGGGAGGGAGCCAGGCTGCTCATGATGCCTTCCCAGCCAGGAGAGGGGAAGGAAGGTCTCCTGGACACCTTGCCTGGGAGTGAGAGTGCTACTGTTTGTGTTATTGGTTAACCAGGGCCTTGCTTGTTACCATCCTATCGTTGAACCTGATCACCTGGGAGGTGTTTTCCCTATTAGTGGGATGTGTGTTGTGTGTGTAAACATGAGACCAGGTAAAGCCCTGTGGGTGCTTTTTTTTTTTTTCTCAAAGATTTATTTATTGTGCATACAGAACTTGGGTGCAGGCAGAGGTGTGAGGATTCACCAGAGACGGAGAGGGGAGCAGAACATGCAGATCGACGAAGTACACTGCTGAGGGGGCAGGTCAGGAGAGGTCTGGTCAGGAGAGGTCTGATGCGCCATGTGGATCACCTCCAGGGTGGGATCAAATTCACACTGAAGCATCTGCGCTAAGAGTTTGCAGTGCTGCACTTTAACCTGCTGCGCCACCAGGAGGGGCCACCTGTGGTCACT